AATCGCTAGACACCAAATCGCTTCCAACATGGCTACAATGCACTTTAGAACGCCACTGTCAGTTTCTGTATTCATCTGACTCCTCATCATACCATAAGTTTGATTTCAGCAAACAGATTCGTATTACTACCCGTGGACAAAACTCATCGTTCGCAATCACTAAGCCTTCTTGTGTTCTTTGTTCTAGCGATAAACACAAACTTATTTGTTGTTCTCAATTTAAGGACATGAATACGAATCAATGCCGTCAAGAAATACGACCTCTGTATCAATTGTCTCAGCAATGGTCATAGAGTAGGTCAGTGTGGGTCAAAGCATCGCTGTCGCACCTGTAACAGAACGCATTATACGCTCTTCCATCATGACAACGCAACTTTGACTACACTTGCAGCTCCAATACCTGCTCTAATTTCGCAATCGTTTCAAGCTTCGTCGACATTGTATTCAAACAAACCTCATACATACAACCAGCTAGCAGCCACGCATTCGCATGTAGAGACATCGGACCACGTGCAGGTCATTTTAGCAACAGCCCAAACATAGGGTATTCATTTACCAACCTTAAAGCTCGAACCACCACAACAATTAAGTCACGCACATCAGCCTTTCAACTTTCTCTCCAGTTGTATACCAACCTGACGCTAAAATTGAAAAGTAAACTGGACCAACAATCCAAACAGAGCTGTAGATGTTGCTACTGCGCTTGCGTTTGTATCGTTACGCTATCACCGCAGATGTCACTAAAATGTACAGGCAAGTACCTTTGAAAAAAAATTATCGTGAATTTTATTATAACTCTGCCGAGCTTCTCCAGACGCAGATCTTCTCACACACAAGCTCATCACTGTGACATATGGCACTGCCTCAGCTCCATATATAGCAGTACGAAGCCTTCACTACCTAACAGATAAGCATATGAGTGAATTTCTAATGGGCGCTGCGGCTGTAAAGACCTCGTTTTGTGTTGTTAATCTTCTGTGTGGTGCCGATGACACTGATGCCTCACAAACATTAAATGCAGAAGTTATTGAGATACTTCGACGCGGTCAGTTTCCTCTATCCAAATGGCATTCCAATCACCCAGATTTCATGGAAAGCCAAACATTGAAAGAGCTAGGTATTACCGATGATTCTATAACAAGTGCACTTGGAATCAACGCAGCGACACGCTGTTGTTCACATTCAGACCAAAATAATAGTTTTATTTTCGTCTCAATATCGATAGTTTATTTTGACTATCGACGGTTTTCGATCCACTTGGAGTGCTCTCACACTCATGACAACCAAATGCTCGGGACATACAAATGGGTTTTGCGACGCATCAATTCGGTGCATATGGAACGTCGAAATCGCCAGTACAAAAACAGTTTCTCCCAACACTCGAACTTTACGGTGCCCACCTTCTCGCTCGCCTGTATCCTAAGGTAAAGAAGATATTCACTTCTGTTCCCCTAACTACTTTCTTTTGTATTGACTGGCAATTAGTTCTACATTGGTTAAAACAAAACTATTTTACGCTGCCTTCCAAGGAGGCTGCGCTGCTGTTGATCTCGAATATTCGATATGGTATATGGTTTTCGTCGCATCGCCTGGCTTTTTCAGTTCAGTGATAAATGCAGACAAAAGCCTACAGCAAACGCCATCTCCTTACGAATTAAAGCGCGCATCCTATTGCATTATCTATATTCAGCAACAGAAGTTTTCAACCGACATTCAATTGCTTCGCAAAAACTAAGCTCTGAAAAGTAACTTGAAGTTTCTCATTCCATTTTTGGATAACGTAACCAGTTTTGAACTCGTGAAGATTGGTGGGCGTTTGGATTATCAGACTTACCAAACTCCCGGAAGTTCTCGATTCTATTACCCAGCAATTCTCAATTTGCAATAAAATACGTTTGATACCTAATTTACGAAATTTTCACGCAGGCCCAAAGGCATTGGTAGCCTTTATCAGATTGGAATTTTGGATTGTCAACGAGATGTTGTTCGTCGTATCGTTCGATGACGACATTTACGAAATTTTCACGCAGGGCCAAAGGCATTGGTCGCCTTCGTCAGATTAGAATTTTTGATTGCCAACGCTAGTTTTGTTCGTCGCATCGTTCGTTCCTGCGTGCATTGTGGTCGTTACAAGCCAATCCACCCATTTGAACGTTATGGAATCGACTTTTGTGGACCAAACATACAGATCTTCGAATTCAACGAAAACCAGCTTGCAAGTCATACTTAGCTGTATTCGTGTGCCTCGTAACTAACATCGAGGTGTTCTCCGACTTAAACAACAAACGCATTCCTAAATGCACTGAAGCGAATGAATGGTCGCCGTAAAATATCATGTGATATCTTTTGCGACACTGCCACCAGATCCTAACCACTTTGATGCACTGACAGCTGGGCATTTCCTAGTCGGTGATTCATTACGTAGCTTGCCTGAGCACTCACTAAAGCTGTAGACCGTCTCACATCTTTATCGCTACAACACAATCACTGCCATCAAGCAAACATGTCAAGTGAACAACACCTTCACTTAATCTCATTGAGGGTGCCTTAGTGATCATACATCACGACAACCCGCCACCGCACCGCTGGAGACTAGGTCGAGTCGAATCTTCGAACTACCAATGGAACCCTTTATAGGCCAATACATAAATTAGCCATGCTTCCGATTTCTTGAAAGGTAGTTCTTTCAACGGTGCCGGGATGTTGGGTCACCCTAATGACATTTGCCTGTGCTCCCGACAGTATATTAGTCAATATACATTTCATTTACATTGCTTACATTCAAACGCCCAAATACATATACATGCATTGTAGTACTCATAAATCTCTTTATTAGTCTCATTTGCCCAAACTTTGTAAAGTGAACAATATGTGTATACATATGATCAACACTTAAAATAAATCACTCGCTAATAAATTGCTAACAAGTGCTTATCGGAGTTTAGTTATTCGGTCGGTCGATGGAAATATATAGTACAGCTTTACTTTGGTTTTTTTGCATGCAAGTCTTCGTTGGCTGCATTTACACATCCTCAATTATTACAATTTAAAAAAAAAGTTAGAAAGCTAGCGTTTCTTACTCCAACAGTAACCAAAGACTTCAGTAAAGATTCTGTGGAAGCGCTTATTTTTTTAATTCATATAAACCTATATGTAAACTATAACTTGTTTATTATTTTGCACATACTTTTTATGAAATAAGTCGAATTTTTTTATGTGTTTGAGAAAAAATGTTCCAAAACATTTTTAGACCTGTATGCTATGATCTGCATGCTCTATGTATAGCACGATATCGACATACAAGTATTTTACCGTATTAATAAATATACCATACTACCGTATCTTTCGAGTATTTTATACTCCACCAGTGTTGGTGGGAAAAAGTCTCTGTCTTCGAAAGATCAAGGAGAAGTTTATTGACTTTGCTTACTATTCTGAATTTGCGTCTACTTGCCAAATATAAAAACACCCAAAGCACTTTTATGTCCACGGCCACCATCACTTGACAATTACAGCCTAATTAAGAAAAGGAAAACGTTTAAGTGTTGTAGCGTAAAAAATCTTTACCTTGAAATACAAATATTCTATCACCTAATATAACCTTAGGTCGGCGAAAATTCTCTTAGCTGTATCCTCCTAGGGGGTGCTGACTGGGCAATGAACGTCGCTACTGTCACCATCACGGATTGACGTCTGGTATAGTTTCTAAAGCAGGTCTTGGCGGTGCGAGCAGACCGCGTCTAGCTAAGGCAGGAGTATATATCCATCCTCATCTTCCTGGAAACTTACTTTGCATACGTCACTTGGGGAGGAGACGTATTTCTACTTCAGCCATTGCTAATGAGGTACCTGGCGGTAGGTATAAAATGCTATGCGTACAGGATAAAACCCATCATGGAGGCTAGTAAGGAAGAAAAGCGGGCTGGGATATCAGACCAAACCTCGTTAGGTGGCTGCTTTCACCGGTGGGCACAACGAGTTTACTTGCTGTGTTTCCAGCGGACATACCTATGCTGTGAATGAAGAAGTTCACAGCGGTTGTAGTGCTACTGCCAAACCCGCCTTACAACGTAGAGGTACCACAGTCCATGAACTCTCCGACCTCGAAAGCGTCAACACAACCAAGAGGAAGCTTCTAGCTATAAAGACTAGTATAGAGCTGAACACAATAAGAGGTTGAAGAAGAAAGCCACTTAAAAAGAAACGGTCAAAGTCCACGAAAGTCTTAGCTGCAAGTCCAACCGGACGAAGAAAGAGGGAAAAAAATTGGATTGGGCTACGGGGGAAAAAAGGAGGAAGGCCTTGCATACTACATGTCGCAGACGCAATTCACGTCCACGGATCCGAAACACAAATGGGATCGAGTAGGGGATTTTAGCCGAAAAGCAGGAACATTTAAAGTCCAGGGCTTCAGCACTGCAGATGCACTGCGCCACCTCAATAGGCAAAATCTTGATATGCGGACGAAAGATTAGAGGGTGCTTAAAATTACCAACTTCGGCAAGGAGGATGGCAGCCTCCAAATAAACATGTCAGTCGAGGACATTTTACACACATTTGTACATACGCCAAAAGCACACGGCATGATCAAAGTAATACTGAACTCATTTAAATTTATTTTAATTCTCTCCCATGAGCAAGTGAGTAAAATCAAATTGTTACTTCACACTCGAAAGAGTCATAAATTGCCGGCACTTATATATGTAGAAATACTTTCGAGTTTTTTAAATAGATCTATGTTCTATTTGCCAGTAGATATTGTAACCATAGTTGCCAATTGGGCGAAATTTACTAATTTATGTATGTTGCTACATTTACACACAAAATTTTATCGCATATGTTTATTCTAGTAAGAGTAACTAGTTAAAATATACAATATTTAAAATATTTGATATACAGTCCTGTGCAAAAAAAACCGGACAGCCTGGAAACTCCATTTTTTTGTCATAATATCGAATTTATTAAATATGTTTGAATTCATTTTTTCAATATTTTCATACCATGTTTGGCCACCGTTTGCCTTAATTACCGCTTTAATACGTCTCGGCATTGATGTAACCAGGTTTTGTAACAATTCTTCCGAAATACCGTTGTGCCAAGTGTCCATTATAATGTTATCCAGGTCAGTTTTTTTCTTAGGTTTTTTTTCAGCTACCTGCTTCTTTACAACGGCCCAGAGGTTATCAATTGGGTTTAGGTCGGGGCTATTACCCGGCCATTCCAATTGGACAATACCGTTTTTTTCCAGAAATTCTTTTACCTGCAACAAATAAAGAATAAATGATTGGTTTTTGATTTGAAATTAAAAAATAAACACTTGTGAGATTTAAAAAAAAACATAATTTACTTTGTGAGATCGGTGACATGGCGCAGAATCATCCTGAAATATAACGTCCGTTCTTAGAGAATACTGCTCTTCGACGACTGGTAGTAAATGCCTTTTCACCAGATCTGCTTCCCACATGGTGGATACCATCCGATCCAAAGAGGTTAAACTTCGCTTAATCCGAAAAGATCACATTCTTCCAGTGCTCAGCACTGATGTCTTCTTTAAAGTCCGGCATTTATCAATCTCCTACGCATAGAAGATGAATTTATTTCGACGCCAGATGCATCCAAGAGCTTCCCCGCTTAATCGTCCGGCCTTTAGCAGGCGTCGTCTTTTTTCGTCGTCCAGATCCTTTTTTCTGCTCCGTTAATCCCATTTCTGCAACTTTCTTTAAAAAAATTTCCAACAGATGATTTGCTGAATCTTACTTTATCAGCAATTTGACGTACAGACAATTTTTGCTGCGATGATGCGACAATTTTTCCCTTAACGGCATCACTCATTTGCTTCGATCTTGGCATATTTTTTATATAAACACTTGTCACGAATAAACTATTTCACTTATTGGCTTATTAATGATACAAATATATTCAAAACTGTTCTTTTTATACACAGGAAAAACTACTTGCCGCTAAGATGATTCATACTCAAGATCTTTAAATAGGGGTAATTTAACTGTCCGGTTTTTTTTGCGCAGGACTGTATATGTGTATGCAGAAAATTAACAATTTGTGAATAATTATATAACATTTAATAACAAATTATTACATATGTTTTGTTTGGTTTAGTTTGATCCACCAAATATTAAGTGAGTGGCATCCGTTTTTCTTTAGTTTCTTTTCGAATCAGCCGATTGTTTTGACAGCGTTCAAAGCGCTTTTTTGGTCATACAAGCATTCAATGTATGTCAAGCGAAAGTAAGCAAGTAAAGCCAGCCAGCATTGGGTTAGGGCCTTTAGTAATTTTTTATATGAGAATGAGTACGCATTTGCATCAATTTTTATAGCTCATGACTTAAGTGCACTAATTTTATTAGTACTCATTGCAGATTTCTGTTATACATAATTCTCGAGTGGAACAAACCAGGCGAGGACAGCTATACTGGTAAAGAAAAGTATACTTTCATATATTGATCTAAATTTCTCCTCAGATGACCTGACCGAGCCGTAAAGGATGGCAAGGATGAGACACCATTCCCTGCATCCTGTTACATGCCCCATGATGATGAATCACTGTTGAAGATATGTGTATTTCAAGCAGAATTCTCGGCCCTCAGCAAAAGTGAAACCTTCAGAAATGAAAAGTACACTAAGTGAGATTTCTACAGGAATATAGTAATAGGTAATCTAACTAGACTCGAGGAATGTGACTCAACCTCTGAACTAGGGGAACGGATATGCACACTTACAAACATTCTCAAAAAAGCGTATTATATCGCGAGCAATCCGGTACATGCCAAGCGTGGCTCGAAGCCGCCTTAGTGGAATAAAGAGTGAGTTCGGATCACTTAGGCGTAGTGTTAAGAACTGTCGTATCGTCAAATCGTATAGATAGTATCCTGCTGGAGGGAATATAAAGACCTACTTAACTAGTATAATAAAGAGTACTTAACTAATATATCAATATATGAAAACTTAATTATATACCTATCCTTTGATGAGTGGCCAGGACGGTATTCATACCTAGGATGGGCAAAGAATTTCCCCGTTATTCAAAAGAATATACACCTATTGGTGTCATTCCTTCTGAAGACATTCGAAAGGAAGCCAGGTGCCAACATTAGAGAAAACCTTGTATTGGCTAGCATATCAAAAGCAGCACGGCTATAGGAAGGGTAGATTCACTGGGACTGCACTGAGTTGCAGAATTAATGGGGAATAGAACGAAGTCAAATTGCTCAGATAGGCGCATGCAGGAACACTTCTAGCTTATGAGCTTTTGAAAAAATTTTAAAGGAAAGCACACAAGCTGATAGCCTATGCATCACATGCCAGCTGGATGGACATTAGTAACAACGACACATGTAGAAAGTACAGTAAAGTAGACAATGAGAAAGACACTGGAAGACCTCCTCTGCTTCTATCCAGCCTTATTTAGAACTCGTCTTAGACATCTAGGACCTTTGCAGTTCAAGGGACTAGATGAAGAATCAAGAAATTAAATATAAAGTCTCTCATAAAGCTGGCAAAAAGCCTTGACATCCTGTATGATGAATACTTCAACTCGAATTAAACTGAACATCCATGTGACATTACAAGGACCAGTATGTATATGTATGGCGTAACAGCCGGCCAGTATATCCTAAGCTAACTTTATATGTTATGTGCGAATTTATTAAAACCAAAAATAATCTGCCTAAATCTATTAGTTTTGATAGCTATAAGATTAATTATTTTTAAATTTAAAAAATACAGGGTGTTTTGTTCAGAACTGTCTATTAAGATTTATAAATCAAAAACCTTGAAAACATTTTTGTCTAGAATTCCACTTAAAATTTTTTTTGTTAGTTGACGAAGAAGTTAGCTCACCCTACGAATTGTATACAATGGAGAAGGAATTATGATATAATAGGAAAACGTACTATGAGAAAATGAAGTTTCCGACCGAAATAAAAGCGAAACAGAAAATTACCTCAGTGTTTTCTTAACGTGGTTTCCACAATAGGCCTATTTCACATGTCTGTTCTGATCCTGAAAAAATAAGAACAGGAAGACGTATTTCGTCACTTAAATTGCAAAACCACGTATCATCAAAAAATCCGAAAATAAGTTTTTTATTGATTACGACTTTCTATAGGATATGATATATAGATAGGTGTATAGAAGGTTTAAAGCTTCTGCTACAAGATGAAACCAAGTTTTTCCTTATCCTGGAAAATGATGTTAAGTTATTTTACCTTTTAAGGTGATGATTTTAGGTTATGAAACACACGAATATATTCATTACTTCACACCCTTGATAATATCTCATTTTATGCTACACTTTCAAACTAAACAAAATCGCAACAGGTCTGTGGAATAGGCCACGTTTAAAAACGCGCCAAATGCATTATCTCATAGGTGTTATGGAAACTTTGCATATTATGGTAATAACAACTTTTCGATTTATTATATCTCAGAAACGGTGGCTCTTTTAATATAATGTAAATAAATTTCAAATTTTTCTGTGCCAAATGGAATGAGGAATTTTGACAAAATATGATTAAAATATAATATTATATTAATCTATTTTTTGTAAAGTGATTACATTTTGTCAAATCAATTATTTTTGCATTTTCGTTAAGTGTAATATCTTGAAAATATTCTCTGAAAATTTCTAGTTGATCCGATAATTACTTTTTGAGTTATTCGACAAATAACAAAGCGCGCTCGGACACTTCAAAGCGCTTGGGAGCAGGTAGGTGAAACTTTAAATGCGTTTTTCTCAAAACTATGCTTTTTGAACTGGTGACAACTGTAACTCGAAAACCGCTTAGTAAATTTTAATGAAATTGATACAGATTTTAGAATATATAATAAACTCGGGCCTTATCGATGGATTTTTTTTTCAAAAATTTTGATTTTTTAAGACCAAATAATTTTTCCCAAAAATCTTGAAAAAAATTCGATCTGGTTCAGGATTATCTATTTATAAAACTAATTTTTTTTATCCGATTAATTTTAGATGAATCTCCAAGGACTTATGATTATCACCGCAATGACCTTTTTTTGGAACTGGGTCAACACAGACAGCTATATCTTTGGAAATTAATACATTTTTTTGAAATGTTCGTGACTTCAAGTCAAAACATTGTATAATAATGCCATATTACTACTTTTGTAAAATAACATGTTTTAATAGCAAAAAAAAAAAAAATTACTGAAAATTCTCATTTTTTCGTGCCTCTGACTACCCCTAACCCCTTAAGGATATTGTGTGTCGTCGTCCGAGAATTCGATCCGAGGATATTAATCTCATTATTCCATCCTTTTCCTTTCTTCTGCTACCGCTTTTTCACCAGTCCTTGCGCCAAGTTTTTTTCTAATTATTGTAATAAGATTATAATTTTTAACCTACAAGTTACATATAAGCTTATTTACTATTTTTTTATTTCCATTACTTCCTCATGATTGCATACATATCTACATACATACATCAATTTACAATTTCTTCTTTTCAAGCAAATCCACTTTTAATACGACATTCTGTGTACTATATTTCACTTTCACTATTTATTAGCCCCATTTTTTTTTTTTTTTTCAAAATAAAATCCGAGTGAAAATTAGTGTTCTGAAAAACGAATTCACAAGAAAAGATTCGGTTAAGATTCACTTCACATAAATTGTGTGATACATGTAAGTAAATTTAAGTGCTAAAATTATGCAGAACAAATATTTAAAATAGTATATTTTCATAATAAAAGTAACTTTTTTATTATTCAAGGGGAAATCATAAAAACGCAGATTAGGATGCAATTATTATTATTCGATTGATGGAAGCTCATAGAGACATGGCCCAAGGCTTTGCGAAGAGTGACAAAAAAAAAGTCGATGCGCTTTGTAAGGAACCGGTAACAGAGTTTAATGTAAAGGGTGTTTAAAATAGTTTCGGGCAAGTGACCGCCGGCTCAAGTAAGGAAGTTTTGGAAGCCCGCAAACCAAGGTCCTTGCGGATGGACTAATTCGGGTCTCCTTAGATACTCTGCTCCACAGTAGCAACAGCATTTTCGGTACGCACTGTACGGCGTATCTGAGGATGTATATTCGCCACTAGAGTAAACGTAGTGTGAAACCGATCTGACTGAATTACCGACTCTTCTGGACGATTATATCGACTGAATATTCGACGTCGCGCGAATCGAACTATTATTTTGGTTGAATTTGAACGATTTTAAAACTTTGTTCCTGAGCAGGTCTGTTCATTATAAAATGACAAGCCAAACTGAGTACAAATCAAGCAAAAAAATAATTTCCGAAAAAAGTATTGTCTCATTGAAAACCAAAGAAAAAAATATATTTCTAGCTGGAAAAAGTTAAAAACCAGTAATTTTGCTATTCTAAAGAAGTTTTATTAAGCTTATTTTCATCAGGTTTGGACGGATTGAAAGGCTTTCATTAGGAAAAAAATTGTTCATAACATTTCTGAAGCTAGACAAATGGGCCAGTAGTTTCTTTTGCATTCAGCTCATCTTCTGTAACAATCGTTGCAAATATACTTAACGCGGTAATTTTTATTATTATTTTGATGTATTTTAATACAAAATAATTTGAAAGCTTTTATTCAGTTGTATGATAGAATAACAACGTGAATGAAAAGAAACAAATTTCTCGTTTTTCAGAACACCAAAACCAAATTAACTCGTTTTTGTATTCATTTTAATTTCCACTTTAACGCGAATTTCAGAACCTGCCTGAATATCTCAGCAATATTCTCTGAAAATTTAAAGTAAACCCGACAAATGCTTTTCGAGTTATTCGATAATTAACAAAGGGTTCTCGGGTGCTCTGGAACGATAGAAAGCAGATAGATAGCAGCAGCTGCTATCGAAGAGTGTGAAACTTTAATACGATTTCTCAAAACAATTTTTTTGAACTAGGGAAACCTGCTCAGTAGCTTTCAATGAAATGTCTACAGCTATTTGAAAACATGATGAACTAGTGCCTGATCGAAGGTTTTTTGTTAATTCCGGTTTTTATAAACAATTAACTCTTGGGTTTTTACTGAAAAAATTTTACAGAGGCCGCCATATTGTTAATTAAAAAAGCTTAAATCAGGCACTAGATCATATGTTAGTTAAACTAATTTTTTTTGTCTTTAAGGATTAGTGATGGTCACCACAAGGAGCTTTGGTTGGAACTGTATCAACACAAACAACCATCACTTTTCCAATTATTAATTTTTTTTATTTCTGCCAAGTCTAGATGAAACCTTATTTAATGATGCTATGTTTTCACATTTATAAAATCAAATAATTTACTGGCAAAAAAATGAAATTGAAATTGTAATTTTTTCATATCTCTGACTACACCTAACCCCTTTCGTAGCAACAGACTGTTATGAGCAAGAAAACAAAGCGTGTGGCTTCTTCACTTTTCTGAATATGTGAAATAAATCCATAAACAGTTTACTTAATTTATTGCAATTCAAATATGAATATTCCAGTTTTTAAACACAGTTTCGGCATAAGTTAATCCATCAGTTTTTTATGTTTTTGAAACATGCGCACATGTATGAACATATTTAGTCCATATACCATATCTTTGGCCATGAGATCATATGTAACTACGATATTACTAACTGTCTTCGATTCGCCATTTTTCTGTTAGCTCCTGCTCTCTTGTAAAAAAATTCTTATCGAATTCGTGCAAGAGAGTATTCCTCACACCTCATTAAAGTGGTATAACTGCTAATTTCAATGCTACCAAGTTTTGTTTTGCATATTTTAGATCTGTTTTACTATAGTGAACGGTTCAAATGACAAATGAAAATACAAATTTCTTTCTTTTTCTTTTGTTTTTGAAACTTAAGACTTATTCAATAATAAAATCAAATCTAGTAATGTATAAAAAACAAAACTAAAAATAAAAATATTTCTCCACTAAGAAAGAATCATAACACTATTGCGCACGTGTCATAAGACATTTTAGCGCAGGGTTGTACCACAAGTGATGCTCGTTTATTTGAGCATCTGGTATAGTTTTTTCGATTCGCTACTCTCCACGCCTGGCTAATCAAAGACAGCTTTTATATTGTAAATCGTGGCTTTATAATTTCAACAACGATATTTGAACCTATTCTAAGATTAGTTATAATGATTCGTTTTTTATTGACAGACATAACATACATATCTAATCGATATTTGCAAAAATCGATCAAATATGTAAAGAATTGTATAGTACTATAATCGTTCTTCAATACTTGCCCCATATTCCAAGGAATTTCTTCACCGCGGTTACGCATTTCCGTAAGTCCTCGAAGTACGTGGAAGACCATTGTTATTTCAACCCAGCGCTTCTGTATTTTCTCTTGCTCTTCGTCAAATATTATACCCACTTGGTATGGGAAAGCGAAGTAAATATCGGTTTCATTTATTTCTAATTGTTTCCTTTGAGCCACAGATAGTTTCTGTATAGTGGGTTTTAACTCATTGATGGCCTCTTTTGACACGAAGCCGTTTAATGCATCAAATTCTCCATTTAACAGTTTTCTAGAAATAATCTATAAAAATTAAATATCTTAAATTTATGTAAGCTGCTTAATTGGCTTATTGTTATATTATAAAAAAACTTTTACATTCCCTATTAATAGAAAATTGTAACAAATAAATACGAAAGTAGACTTTTGTAGTAGGTTATAAATTAATATAAATGGCATTTCAAAAATTTCAAAAACTAATAGATCGGCATAAGAACATATTATACTTTTCGTCTGCTTTAATCATGCTCCATCTATATATAAACCAATTACCAAGCTATGGGACTTCCAAAGGGCACAAGTAACTATTATTATTTATATTTGGTTGACTTCGAAAACGTCAATCAATGCCTAAATTCGAAGTCTTTCATCTTCCACGACTTGAAATATAAGAAACTTGTTGCTCAATTAACAATAGATAAAATCTTTTACTCAGAATTGTTGTGGAATCCATAAAATTTACTTAATTGTCGGAATTGCG